CTGTCGGCAAGCTGATTGGCTTTGCTCCCAACTTCCCTAGAGGCAGCAGTCAGAGCACGCTGACCGGTTCCATTCTCTCAGTCAGAACATCACCTCATTTAGTCTGTGGGGACACTATGGAGAACAGAATCTCACCGTCTTCTCTAGGACTCTGCACACGTACCTTGAATAGCCTTGGGAACACGTCAGCGGGCTGTCCCCGGACTACAAACAGGCGAGAGTTCAGTTTCCTCAAACTTGTATCCAAATCTTCCAGAGACTGAAGTAGGAACCTGCAGAACCCACACAGGCCTTTTAGAGGTGACATAATGAAGAGGCATTCTTTTTCCTAACAAAGCAGGGGGAAGCTTACACTATGCTGAACAAGTAGCATCATTAGTACCAGGACCAGAGAGACCCGGGCACTACTCCAGCCATTACTTAACCTGTTTAGCTTTTTTTCTTCTAATCTGGAACATGGAGCTGATGTTGGTACTGAGCTCCTAAAATTGCTAAGAAAAGAAAATCAAATAATGCGTGAAAAACATTTAGTGCAGTGCCTGGCTTATAGAAAGGCTGGGACAGATGTGAGCTGCTCCTCCTCGGGCTGTTTCTCTGTGGATCTGAGGGAAGTCACTTATTCCCTTGCAGCCTCGGGCCCTGTGTATGAATATTCACCCATTGTAAGGCTGCTGTGAAAATCAAAAGGGAGAACAGGGGAGAAAGCCATCTGAAAAATAAGAGCAATATTGTGTGGAAGCCTGAGGTCTTACCAGAGAGGAACAAGACTGCGAGAGCCCTGGCAAACCCTACCTCCCCGAGCCCATCGGACCCCTGCCTTGTGCATTCACGCTCTGGGCTGCACCTGTCTACCTCCGCACGCCCATAGCCTGGGCGGGTCCCCAGTTCTCAGGGCTTTGTTTGGCAGGTGGTTCATTCTCCAGGCCTCCAGCTGCCAGATTCTCACCCTAAGAGAGAGAAGGCCTTAGAAGGTACTTCTCTATAGGATACCCTCACATGCTTTTGGGGGTGGGGATCCCAGATACTCAAGAGACCTAGTCTTGAGAGCTGGATCACCATGGGGAAGGAAAAAGCATTTGCTAAGTGCCTTCGGTGTTCTATTTATTATTATGATGTGACCGCAAACATTCATTTACTGTTCGGTTAGGCACAACCACCTTTCTGAGAAATCTATCAATACCTTTTTATGACGCGTTTTTTTTTTTAAGTTTATTTAATTTATTTAGTAATCTCTATGCCCAACATGGGGCTTGAACTCACAACCCCAAGATCAAGAGTCGCATGCCAGCCAAGCACCCCTGACATGTGTTTTATTTTTAAATTAAATGAAATCAACATTTTAAAGATAACTATGTAATTCAAAATTCAAGTTGTAAAAAGTTCACATGGTAAAAAGTCTCCCCTTTGTCCATGAGGGATTTAATTCCCCTCCACAGAGACAAACAATGTCATTGTGTTATTATATATCCGTTATGCTTTTTGACGTGTTTTCTTTTTAATTCTCTCAATACATTTTGAAGGGAAATATCTTCATTTTATAGATGAGGAAAATGAGACACTGAGAAGATAATTAATTTGCTTAAGATCATAATCGTTAAGTGACAAGGCTGGGATAGGAACCTGTGCCCCATTTCTAAAGCCTTTTAGTGACACGCCCGACACTCTTCCAGGGGCTGAGATGCTGCCAGACCTCATGTGTTCGGAATCTCTCTGACAAACACAAACCTGACTATAGGCAACTCACTGACACTCTGATCTTCCTCATGAACTAAGCCCTGACAGGTCAGCCTGGTTCGCAGATACCACTGCTATCTATATTTTGGTATCTCCCACCCATCTCTGTCAATGACGGAAATCACTAGGTTTTTTTTTGAACGCAACGAAACCCTGTGCCTCTTCCGCAGCACACATCACATCCCCTGACGACTGCAGACTTAGAGAAGCAGCCACCGTTCCCAGGCTGCCAACTAGAACCAGTCCCCACTGCTGAGTCTGACGTCTGCGACATGACACTCCCATGGCAGCGAATGCCACAGACCCACATTTCAGCATGAGCAGAGTCCTGGGCCCAGCCCAAAGCATCATGCCAGCCAGCAGAGACTCTCCAAGGCGATGGGAATGGAGACTGTTGCTTCATGCAAACCCAAAGCTCCGCCTCTGTGAATTTCTGTTTTTGAAAAACTGACGCCCTTAAAAAAGGAAAGCTAAGCCGGGAGTGACGCACTTGTGTCGGCCTCCTCCCAGGCTGCACCATTCCTCTCAAGATGAAAATAGGAGAGACCCATGTAAATAGCCTCATGCCACCTGAAACCTGGGCCCTGCCAGCGAGAATGCTGCAGGTGACTGGAGACCTAAATTCCACAACCTCAGGGTAGAAGGTCCTTCATCTGCGGCTCCCAGGAATGTCCTTGCCATGCACTTCGGTGGCCTCCTCCCTCACAGTCCCCCAGGCTGCACAGGCTTTCAATCTGAAGCTATAAATAAGGCTGACATGCACACGAAAGCTAGTTTCCAGCTGTTTCTACAGAACTTTATTTCCAGACCTCATTTACTGAAAGGAGAGATTCCTTGTAAGTAAGTACTTAAAGTACTTACTCTCAAGTAAGATAACCCCACAAGAACCCTTTTCTTCTTTGACATGAGATGTCTACAGCTGAAGCAGGAAGCAGAAGGCCCAATTCTGAACTCAGCAACCAAATGATAATAATGATAACAGCAACAACTAACATTTGATGAGCATTTACAATGAACCCAGCACCAGTCTACTTATTTTACACACATTATCTCATTTAATTCTCAAACTGACCTATGAGGTAGACACTACCATTATTCCCATTTTATAGCTGAGGAAACATTATTCCCATTTTATAGATGAGGAAACCGAGGCACAGAGTGGCCAGAATTCAAACCAGGCCGCCAGGCTCCACTGCTTCTTGACCAGGACTTATGATGTGAGTGCTGAGGCTGTGCTGTTCAAGACGCAGCCACCAAGGAGAACCACAGCCAACAACTTTGCTACCAGATCCTTGCTCCTCTGAGGATCAATGGCTGTGAATCTCCCAGAAGCTTGATGAAATGCAGAATCCCAGACAGACCTCCAGGATCAGAATCTGCATTTTAGCAAGAGCCCCTGGTGATTACTTTGCACACTAAAGTTTCACAAGCACTGTTCTAGAAAGCTGAACTTCACTTCTAGCTTCTGTTTACAAGTTGCCTTTTTTTGCTTCTAATTTGTTTCTACTAAACTTTCTTTGAGATCCTGGTTTCTGCCTCTTCTTTGGTGCTCTAGATATGCTTTGCTACTTCCAACTTCCCCCCTGAGTCCAGCCCTACAGGGCTTCTCCAGGAAGGAGGTTTCAGGATGGCCCCTATAAGAGGCAACAGGCCCCCCCTGGAGCCCCAGCCTCCAGGCAGCCAGAGAAAGAGAAGCCACTGCTATGGTGGCTCACCTCACCTGCCAGGTGACAGCTTTGCGTAACACCAAAGAAACAGGGAGTTGCACTGCTACTGGGCAAAGGTTCACTGGGGCCGGTGTGTGCATTCTTTCACTGGAGAGAATTTTGGGCCTTTTGCCCTCCTTTAGAGCCCTCCTCTCCACATGGCCAGTTACTCTTTACTCCAATAAGGGTGGACTCTAAAAGAACACTGGCCTGTGCACTGGAGATACCAGTGTTTGGGGCTGGCAGCTCACCCTTGGCAGCTCTAAGCTGAGCTCACATGGCCGAAATTTAGAGCACACGGTCCTATGTGAGCAGTTAAAGCTCACCCTTAGGATTAGACAACACGTGCAACTGAGTTATATTACGTAAGTGCTCTGGAGCTAGAGGCAGACAGAACTGGAAAAGGCCAAACAGGGACTTCCAAAAATACAGAAAGGACTGTAATTCAGGGACTCCATGCGGCTAGCGTTTTAGAATAAGACAGGCGGATTTTTAGAGAAGACCTTCCCCAGAGATGGAAGATTCTGTGTTGAGGAATATTTTATTTGCTGTTAATAGGAGGAGGGAGGATGACAGTGAACTCTTTTTTGGGTCCAGATTGCCCTTGACCAAATTCCTCTGCTTCAAGCCAAGGTTATCTAACTACATGATGATATCATAGGCCTGCCCAGACTGACTACCTAGGATATTAATAGAAATTAATTTATCCTAAGTCAGAGAGTGTAAGTCCCATGGAAAAGGATAACCTATATCCACAATCCATAGCAGGGATTGATCTCTCACCATCACTCTGAAATTAGGAAAGAATAAATATATTTTTATCTGAGAGAAAGATGAAGGTTTTTATCACTTTTCCGGCAAATGGAAACATTTCCTCAGCAGCAGAACAGTAATGTGACTCGCTTGGATACCAGTGTGAAGAGCTCAGAGAAACTCACATTTCTCCCCCAGTAGACTACAATGCTCAATCCCCTGCTTGCTGACCGAGTTCCAGGGAAGAACCGGCTAAATCGACAGTCTCACAGTGACTAGCTCCCAGCACTGGGATGAGACACACTTGTTCTCATCAGGCATGCTGGGGAGGTTCCAGTTCACCTCACTTATTAATTCTGAACTATACAGGCTTATATCGTATTTCTACCAACTCCCCCTGTCCCAGAAGCTCCTGAATGCACCTGCAGCACAGAGCTAGGGAGAAAATGATTTAAATAAAGGTTTTAGTGAATTGTTGCCAACACCCGATCTAAGTTGCAGGAGCAAGAGGAAGGCAATACCCATTTTTAAATCCAGAAGCTGATTACCACGCCCCCCCCCCCTTTTTTTGGGTGGTCCTCACTGCAGAACCTCCTTCCAAATGCAACAAATTTGGGGAAGGCAGGCCTGGGGAAAATGGCAAAGGATTAAGCCAACTAGCGCTTGATGAAAAAAAAGTCCTGAGGCTTATGGAGCTACAATTAGCCCATCAACTTCCCACTACCACCAAGGCGAGGAGTATGCTAGCCCTTCTGCTATGCTAATAAATATACAGATTTCTTGGTTGCCTTTCTCTGTCCTGTTTTACTCTTAGAAAGTGCCATTCATGGTTATTTTAATCTGATTCATCTGCTGAAAATGCTATGCGGGAGTAAGTGTAGGAAGTGCAGGAAGAGAACAGAATCTCAGATCTCGATTCCCCCCACCTCTTGCAGATGGCCCACGGCCCACCCTTTCTCGGGAGGCTTCTCTGAGGCAGCAACTGAAGTATCTGCAGAGCCTGGATGTTATGCTGCAGCACAGTTCTCCCAGACGACTCCCAGAGCCAGAAACAGCCGCTGGAAGATTACACATATTGAAGTTATGCAGAGGTACGGCTGGCTCCATCACTCTCCCAACCCCCAACCGAGTGTGTAAAACAGTCCCTCAGCTCTGCCCTGGATCTGACCACGGGAGCAAAGTGGACGATGGGGGTGGCAGCAGTGCGACTGCTTCCAGGTCCAGAAGCAGTTATCGTATTCGATCTGTCTTGTGTTTTTTCACCTCTTCCTTCTGAATGCCAAAGCTAATCAGCCTCCCTGCCAATGCACTGCAACACATCTCCCAAGCTGTCGGGCTTGAGCCTGTGGTTCTCAGGCTTCACGGCACATGAGAGCTTTAAAAACTCTGATGCCCAGGCCATAACCCAGAACCATTAAATCAGAATTGGGGGAGAAGGAAGTCCAGGCATCTGTTAAAGATCTTTTAGTGATTCCCATGTTCAGCAAGACAGATGCTGCTCTGGTCCGTCCCCCTATTTTATTTATTTCGTGGCATTCAGTTCTCCTGAATCACGATTGTTTACTTGTCCTCCTTCACTAAAATGTAGGCTCCAGAAGCTCTGGACACCACAACGGCTTGTTCGTTACTATGTCCCAGCAGCACCCAGAGCGGCGCCTGGCAGATTTTAGGCCCTCATTAAATCACTGTTCGATTAATATCTACATGCCTACACGGCCTTTGACTTCAGGATTTAACTCGGGCATGCGAGCTGCCACGTTCCTCTTCTCCTTCACTTGTTCAAAAGCACAATCACAAAAGAGTGACCCACAAAAATCCATACACACCTAGATCCTAGCAAACCTGCGTTTAAACAGCAACAGTGAGGGGCGCCTGGGTGGCTCAGTCGGTTAAGCGTCCAACTTAGGCTCAGGTCACGATCTCGCAGTCTGTGAGTTCAAGCCCTGCGTCGGGCTCTGTGCTGACTGCTCAGAGCCTGGAGCCTGTTTCTGATTCTGTGTCTCCCTCTCTCTCTGACCCTCCCCCGTTCATGCTCTGTCTCTCTCTGTCTCAAAAATAAATAAACGTTTAAAAAAAATTTTTTTTAAAAAATAAACAGCAACAGCGGTTTTGGTGTTGAGTTTTAATCTCCACTACCACATACGTGTCAGCAGTCTTATGCGATGTCCCCCAATATCCGGCAAAACGAAACGAAACAAAACAAAACCTCTTTCATGACCATGCAACAAGCAGGCAGTCAGACCGTATTTACTATGCTCTAATCGGCACACTGCCATAAGGAGAGGGGCAAAGTCTGAGGCCTTGTTTAACGTCCATACTAGGGACGGTCATTTGAGGATGTTTGTCAAACCCAACCTTCTATCTATAGAAACTGGAGCAGAGGCAGAGCAATAGAACAGCCCTGAAAACTGTGTGGGCAGGCTCTCCACAGGACTATCTTTAGTTGTTCTCTCTACATAAATGGGGCAGGAGGGGGCATTTAATAGACCCACTGCTAGGGGCACTCACTCTCCTAGCAGGGCACATGCCTTGGAGAGGAAAAGAATGGTGAGCTGACAGCCACTGTATCTTGGGGATAACGCTGCCCACCCGTTGCAACAAGGCCACAGGCAAACATTCCCCAGAGCAACACAAACAAACCAAGGGACAGCTGCGGGGTGTTTTAAAGAGAGATGGGGGGGCGCCTGGGTGGCGCAGTCGGTTAAGCGTCCAACTTCAGCCAGGTCACGATCTCACGGTCCGTGAGTTCGAGCCCCGCGTCAGGCTCTGGGCTGATGGCTCGGGGCCTGGAGCCTGTTTCCGACGCTGTGTCTCCCTCTCTCTCTGCCCCTCCCCCATTCATGCTCTGTCTCTCTCTGTCCCAAAAATAAATAAAAAAAAAAAACGTTGAAAAAAAAATTAAAAAAAAAAATAAAGAGAGATGGGTACACGATGTCTCCAAACCTCTTGGTTTTAAACCCTGGTTACAGAGAAAAGACATCAGCTACTTAGCTGTTAATCGTTCCCCATGATTCTGTCGACTGCAGCTTCCTGGGAATCATCAAAGAGGGGTCTCCTTGATATCACAGCTATCCTGGTCCCTAACCTCAGCGCATCAGTGGATAAAAATCTAATGTATAGAGGCTCAACTGTCCTTTAAAATTAATCTCATGAGAAGAGGAGGAAGCAAGTGACACTTTGGTTCCTCTTTCTCTCTTTCTTTCTTCTTTCTTTCCTTCCTTCCTTCCTTCCTTCCTTCCTTCCTTCCTTCCTTCCTTCCTTCCCTCCCTCCCTCCCTCCCTCCCTCCCTCCTTCCTTCCTTCCTTCCTTCCTTCCTTCCTTCCTTTTTTTTAAATCCTAGCAAGCTCATAGCTAGTGGCTGAGGGAATTCTCCAAAATGGGTTAGCATTTATCTAATGTTAAGCCAGAGCATTTGGAACGTGGCAGCTCGCATGCCCGAGTTAAATCCTGAAGTCAAAGGCCGTGTAGGAATGTAGATATTAATCGAACAGTGATTTGATGAGGGCCTAAAATCTGCCAGGCTCTCTAGCTCAGGACACAAAGTGCCTCCACCTGGACAAGCCCTTGGTGTTTTTATCATAAAGGGTAGACTGCACCTGCCTTATCTAATGCTAAGCCAGAGTCTCTAGAGACCTCCAGAGGCAGGAAGGTTTTGGTGGAGGGAATACAAGCAAGCCAGCTTAGAGATGACCTTCAGGAGCCCAGCAATGGGCTCTTTACTTGAAGAAGGCCAGAGCACCTGGTGCACTAGGACTCAGAAACCCGTCCTTGCCCTCACATCACAGTATCTCCTTTCTTCCTCTCCCAGAGCACACCCCTAAGAGCCCTAGACCAGGAGTCCCTGCTCTGCCACTCCCTGGCTGCCAAGTCTTTGGGCAGGCCAACTTGTGTCTCTAGGCCTCAGGAGTCCCTGATCAACGGAGAGAGAGCACGATCTCTGTCCCGCAGGAATGCTGTGGGGCCCCAAAGGGGCTAACACACAGTGCGAACGCGGCCGTCAGAGGTCGAGCCCTGGCCCACCCAGGCCATTACTGAGATGACGAATTGCTTGCCCAGCCCTGGCTTCTCCCTTCTGGAAACGCGGTTCCGTCTCCCGGTCCCACCTCCCGCAGGCCGGGGTCTTCCGGCCGTGGGGACTGAGGGGCAGAGCCTCCCTGTCTATGGGGCGGAGGCGACCCGGGCTGTTCGCGGGCGCCCTCGGAGCCAGGCCGCTGCCCCCCGGGCCCCGCGACCCGGCTCTGGACCCCCTTACCTCCAACGATTGATCCCCACTGAGGAGGAGGCCGCGAACCAAGGGTCCAGGATGTAAACGCAGCGTACGCAGCGCGCCCCGCGCACGGCCGCCAGCAGCGCGGGGTTGTCGTGGAGCCGCAGCCCTTTGCGGAACCAGTGCACTGAGGAGGCGCCATCCGCTCCGGCTGCCGGCGCCGGGGCCGCAGCCGCCGCCGTCACCGCAGCCGCCGCCATCACTGCTCAGACTGCTCAGGCCTCCGCCGCTCCGCCCCCGTCGGCGCCGCGGGCCCCACCTCCGGCCCGCCCAGTGACCTATGACGTCGCCGCTCCTCACCGTGGCCCCGCCCCCCGAGGCCCTAGAGTCCCTCTGCCATTGGTTGGGCGCCTCCCGCCGGGCGATTGGCCCAGCGACGCCGAGTCCGGCACCGCCCCCTCACGTTCCCACCATGTGTCGGTCGGCCGCTTTGGAGGTGGCGGGCTGGGCTGGTGACGCAGGCTGGAGATCCCTGTAGAGGTCTGGGCTTGGAAGGAGTCTCGAGGCACAGCGGATTTCCTACATGCGTCCTGTTCTAAACCTGCCGCTGGAAGCGGTCTGGGCTGGTGGGGAATTGCTATGACTCCAGCCAGTGACTTAACCAGAATCATCTGCTTCCACCTCTGTTACATCATCTGCAACATTCTACTACAGCGACCATTTATTGAGTCCATTTTATATATACCAAGCAACGTGATAATATCCTTACATAGACTATCTCATTCACTATTCTTAACGCAGCCCGGTTGTGTTCACTCAACAGACCTCAGTGAATGAGCTGCTATTATTCTCAATTTAGAGGCAGAGAAATCTGAGGCTGCCACAGTGGAGTCACTTGCTTGTATCATAAAGCTAATAAAAGGATCCCACCCAGATTATTCTGAATCCGAAGCTTCTCCTTTTATCCACAAAGCCCTACTTTTATCTTTGTGGAACTCTTTGGCATTTGCAAGTGACAGACTCTAAAGAGGGAGGAGGAGTGCCCTGATGTGCAGCAGTGGAGGGATTGAGAGTAGGGACTGGCAGTGTGGAGGATGTGGATTGAGACAGTAATTATGCCATGAGATGAATTTTTCTTTTGGTTCTGTTTAGTAGAACAGAGAACAATGGTCCCTCTTGTGCTCACAAAGCACTGAACTGGATTCGGTGTGGGATTCAGAGATATGGAAGACACTGTCCCCATTCCTCCCCTGGGGAGCCAAGTGGAGCCCTCTTATTCTTCTGGGGTCTAGCGCTGACCTTGATGATAGACTGATGAGTGGCAAGAGAAGCATATGAACACCTGCAGTGAAGTGTTGATGATGGGTTAAGATAGTCTAATTAGGCTGGGGCTCTGTGGTTATCAAGTGAAGAGTTTGTTTGAATTTGGTGCTAGGTTGTGCCCATACTCACGTCCCTTCCTGAATTTGGGAATGAGCAATGAGATAATTCAGCAATTTCGTGGCATTAATTGGCACAACTCTACAAACCACAGAGTCATTGCAATCCTAGGTTCTCATTTCTAGGGCTTTGCATAAGCTGTTCCCCCAAGCCTGAATACTTCAACTCCAGCTTGTCCTGTTATACTATACTTCTCAGTATAGATGTCGCTTTCTTGCTGTCTGGGCCCAGCTTGTATGGTGCCTAGCTCATTACGTACCTTCTTATGGTCACTGTGGCTTTAGTACATAGTACTGGAATTTCTTACTTGTCTTTCTGTGCCATTAGACTATACACTCCTGGAGGGCAGGGGCCATCGCTTGTTTACAGTTGAATTTTCAGAGTTTAGCTCGGTGTTTGGCACTCAGTGATTCGAATGGTTGAGGATAACTTGAGTAAAAGTTGAACAGCAACTAGTCTCAGTTGGCAGAAACCTTAAAGATCTATCCAGTCCTGACCTTGTCCCAGAGAGTGTAAGGAGATAGTTCTTCCCCCTACCCTCTTTTTCTCCTCTGAATTCCTGTGATACTTTCTGTATACTGTGGGTCCATGAGGTCAGGGACTGTGCTTTTCTTGTTCGTCAGTGTGTGCCCAGCACCATTCTGGGCTCTGATGTGTGGTAGTTGCTCAGTAAATATTTGAAGAATGATTGAATGTCATTTACCTCTATCTATTAGGCTATCATGACAGAGTGTAGTATAATGGTTAAGCCCAACATCTTGCCCATTTGGGGTGGCTGAGTTCAAATTCTGGTTCTGCTTTTCCTCTCTGTGACCTTGAGTAAACTAGCTGATCTCCCTGTTCCCCACTTTCTTAACGCATACAATAGGGGCGACAATAATATTGAGGCTATAGTAAGCATTTAATAAGAATTAGCTACTATTTTTTTTCTGAAAAGCAGGATCTGTGTCTGCTTTTGTCTTCCTTGCATCACGTGGCTCTTGGTCTTACATGTGATGAGCACTCTGGAAGTTGCTGAGTGAATAGAAGATTTTAACCGGTTTTAAAAAGACCTCAAAATTATGCCAGTAATGAAAAACAAACCAAAACAGAAATTTGTTACCAATCCCCCAAACCAAACAAATCAATTTTTTTAGATCTTCATGTTGCCTTCTAGACTTTGTCCATAAACATTTTTTTTTTTTAAGTAATCAAAGCAGAGGGGCAGTGTGGATACATTTTGAAACAAAATGTTAAGTATATTCTATATTGCTCTGTCGGTGTCCTTGTGTTTGTTATTTTAATGACTATATAATCCATCAAATTGATAAAAAGGAAATATTTTATTGAATGATTGCATATGGTTCGAGTATAATAACACGGTAACATTCAAGAATCAATCAGGAAGTGGGGCGCCTGGGTGGCGCAGTCGGTTAAGCGTCCGACTTCAGCCAGGTCACGATCTCGCGGTCCGGGAGTTCGAGCCCCGCGTCAGGCTCTGGGCTGATGGCTCGGAGCCTGGAGCCTGTTTCCGATTCTGTGTCTCCCTCTCTCTCTGCCCCTCCCCCGTTCATGCTCTGTCTCTCTCTGTCCCAAAAATAAATAAACGTTGAAAAAAAAATTAAAAAAAAAAAAAGAATCAATCAGGAAGTAACTCTGGCATAGAATAGTGGAGTGCAAAGTCCGCTTTTGGATTTTACACTTTAACAGGCACTTGGAGAAACTGAAGAGAGACTAAAGAAACCTGTAAATTGCTAGGGAGGTGAAATGTAATCTTGTACTATTGTATCTTTGAGAGAGATGAGAACGGAAGCTTCCCCTCGTAGCTATCCACCTGGTAATTTACAAGCATCTCTGAGCGTGGTTGCCCTGAGGATGCCAAACAGTTGCTCCTTGTTTCCATTAGGGATAGAACGAAAGAATCTAGTTAAAAGAAAAAAAAAAAGAATCTAGTTTATGCAAGGAAGAGTAAGAGATTTAAGGAGGGGCTTTAGTATACATAGTGGTTTAGGAATGAGACAAATTAGGTAGTGGAGGTTTCTTTC